CATATATCATTAATAAAACATTGGACGTTTCTTGCATTACAAATTTTGCGCTCCTTGTTTTTCTTTTTCTATCTCTCGCTTTATCAAAAACAGCTATTCTCTTACACCACACTCGCGTATCACAATGCAGATCCATATCCACTCTGGATCCCATTGATAACGACTCTGCTACTGCCAGTTATGACTTCGAAAATCCGATCAACCAAGCCGAGGACAAAGGTGAGGATGATTGTGAGGTGCCTGGAGAACTTGCTAGACTGTTACTACATGAAGAAAGGGCCATATAGCCTCATGAAGAGTCAGTTGAATTAGTGAATTTGGGTATAGAGTTAGACAGGAAAGAGGTTAAGATAGGAGCAACTCTGGAGCCTAGTGTCAAGCAATGGTTGATACAGATGTTACGCGACTATGTTGAGATCTTCGCTTGGTCTTATGAAGATATGGCTGGTTTGGACACTGATATTGTGGTACATCGCCTTCCAACCAAAGAGGACTGTCCTCCGGTAAAGCAGAAGGTTCGCCGTATGCGCCCTGAGATGTCTGAGAAAATCAAAGCTGAGGTCATGAAATAGTTCGACGCGGGATTTTTAGCTGTCACTTCTTATCCGCAGTGGGTTTCCAACGTTGTTCCAGTACCTAAGAAGGATGGTAAGGTACGGATGTGCATGGACTATAGAGATCTGAACAGGGAAAGCCCCAAGGATGACTTCCTACTTCCTCACATTGATGTTCTGGTCGACAACACCATGCAACATAAGATCTTCTCCTTCATGGATGGTTTTTCTGGCTACAACCAGATCAAGATGGCTCCTGAAGACATGGAGAAGACAACCTTCGTTACACAGTGGGGCACCTTCTGTTACAAGGTAATGCCTTTCGGGTTGAAGAATGTTGGGGCAACTTATCAGGGCGCCATGGTCGCTTTGTTCTACGACATGATTCACCATGAGATCGAGGTTTATGTTGATGATATGATTGCAAGGTCCCAGACTGAGGAAGAGCACCTTGACCATCTCCAGAAACGGTTCGACAGGTTGAAGACGTACAAGCTGAGGTTGAACCCGAACAAGTGCACCTTCGGGGTAAGGTCTGGTAAGCTGCTTGGTTTCATCGTCAGTGATAAGGGTATTCAGGTGGACCCTGTCAAGGTAAAGGCTATACAGGAAATGTCGGCTCCCCGCATAGGAAAGGAAGTTAGAGGCTTTTTGGGACGTCTGAATTACATCGCCAGGTTCATTTCACACCTGACTGCTACTTGTGAGCTAATCTTCAAGCTGCTGAAGAAAGATTAAGTGGTAGAATGGAATGATGAATGTCAGATTGCTTTCGAAAGAATCAAGGAATACCTCCAAGAGCCACCTATTATGATGTCTCCAGTTGAAGGAAGACCTTTGATCTTATACTTGACAGTATTGGATAGTTCAATGGGGTGCGTGTTGGGGCAGCATGACGAGTCTGGCCGAAAAGAGCACGTTATTTACTACCTTAGCAAAAAGTTATCGACTGTGAGACCCGATACTCATTGCTCGAGAAAACTTTCTGCGCTTTGGCATGGGCTGCTCGCCGGCTGAGACAGTATATGCTGACTCACACCACCTTATTGATATCAAAAATGGACCCAATCAAGTATATCTTCGAAAAGTCTGCCTTATCCGGAAGAATAGCAAGATGGAAGATGATCTTAACTGAGTATGACATCTAATACACAACCCAAATAGCAATCAAGGGGAGTGTATTGGCGGATCATTTGGCGTATCAGGCCGTGGACGACTACCAGTACATGAATTTCGAGTTCCCGGATGAGAACATCATGTTGGTGACCGACTGTGAAGAACCTGGACCGGATGAAGGACCTGAGGAAGGATCAAGATGGTCTATGTACTTTGATGGAGCATCAAACGCGTTGGGTAATGGAATTGGCGCTATAATCATATCTCTTGAGGGCTGTCATACTCTGTTTACTTCCCAATTATGTTTTAACTGCACCAACAATATGGAGGAGTATGAAGCATGTATCTTGGGTCTTTGAGTTGCTACTGACCTGAGGATTGAGTTCTTGAGTGTATTCGGAGATTCTTCTCTAGTGATCAGTCAGATCAAAGGCGAGTGGGATACGAAGCACTCAAATCCTATTCCTTACAAAGAATACGTACTGACTTTGCTCCCACATTTTGAGGAGATAACCTTTGAACACTTCCCGAGAGAGGAGAACCAGTTAGCGGACGCGCTAGCTACCATGTCTTCTATGTTCAAAGTCAGGTGGGATAATGAAGCTTCCCAGATTATCATTGAGAGGTTGGATGAACCCGCACATTGTTGTGACATTGAGACTGAAGAGGTAGCAGATAAACCCTGGTTCCACGAGGTAAAGAAGTATCTTGAGACTCAAGAATACCCCGAGGGTGCATCTGTTAATGATAAGAAGTTTCTGAGAAGGTTCGCTGCAAAGTTCTTCATCAGTAATGGGATCCTCTATAAGCGTAACCATGATTCAACCTTATTGCAATGTGTGGATAAGAGCGAGGTAGAAAGGATCATGGCAGAGTTACATGAAGGTACCTTCGGAACTCATTCTAGTGGACATACCATGGCAAAGAAGATCCTGCAGGAAGGATATCATTGGTCTACTATGGAAGTCGATTGTTATCAGCATTCTCGAACCTGTTATAAGTGCCAAGTCTATGCTGATAAGGTGCACGTACCTCCAGTTCCCCTGAATATTTTGACAGCTCCTTGGCCTTTTGCAATGTGGGGCATCGACATGATCGGTAAGATCAGACCTACTACATCCAACGGGCATCGTTTCATTCTGGTGGCTATTGATTATTTTACGAAGTGGGTTGAGGCAGCTTCCTTTGCTACAGTAACCAAGAACGTCGTGGCGCGGTTTATCCGACAATTTGATCTGTCGATATGGTGTACCGCAGAGAATCATTACAGATAATGGTACAAATATCAACAATACGATGATCACCGAGCTCTGCAAACAGTTCAAGATACAGCATCATAACTCTTCTCCCTACCGACCGAAGATGAATGGGACTGTTGAAGCGGCTAACAAGAATATCAAGAAGATTGTGCAGAAGATGACGGTGATATACAAAGACTGGCACGAGATGTTGCCATTCGCTCTTCATGGGTACCGTACCTCATCATGGACGTCGACAGGGGCAACACCTTACTCCTTGGTGTATGGTATGGAGGCAGTCCTACCCATCGAAATCCAGATACCCTCTCTCCAGATTATGAAAGATGTGGGTTTGAATGAAGATGATTGGATCCAGACCCGACTTGACCAGCTGAATCTAATCGATGAAAAGAGACTTACTGCTATTTGTCATGGTCAGACGTATCAAAAGCAAATGATTAAGGCATTTAACAAGAAAGTCAGACGCCAAGAATATCAAGTCGGGGATATGGTGATCAAACGCATCATACTTCTGCAAGGTGATCCCAGGGGCAAATGGACTCCCACGTACGAAGGGCCATTTGTGGTTAAGAACATTTTCTCGGGAGGAGCTATGATTCTAACCACCATGGATGGTGACGACCTTCCTCACCCCGTCAATGCAGACATAGTAAAAAGATACTACGCATGATCAAAGACCCGCTAGGTTGACTGGCCTAGGCAAAAACAAGGGCTTCACTACAAGAAAATTAGTGTTTAACGACACAAAAATTGCGACAGTTATGTGATAACTGTCGTAATTGACATATAGAGACAGTGTTTACAACAGTTGACACCAACCGTCCCTAATATTTATTTTGCAACGGTATATTTAACCATCATAATATTATTATTACGACGGTAAAACAACCGTCGGCCCCCATTTAACACTTTTAACATTGATTTTTCACCAACAACTAGTCACGACGGTAAAATTAACCGTCCTAAAAGGCATATCACGACGGTAAAGCACCCGTCGCACCTTTAAACCTTTCACGACGGTAAAATTATCCGTCCTAAAATTCATTTCACGACGGTAAAATAACCGTCGCACCCAAAACCTTTAAAAATTCTCATGGGCACGACGGTAAAACACCCGTCGCCGTAAAAAAGTTAAAAAGCTCTTAAAAAGCTCTTATTCATTTCATTATTCTTGTTACAATTTTATTTTTACAGTGAACCCTTCATCTCTCTCCCGCGCAGCCTCTCACCCCCCAACCTTCAAACCCAGTTCTCCCTCAATCAAAACCCAACCACCAAAAACAAACAAAAAGCTAAAGATCTTACCCCTTTCGCGATTGCTTTATGACTTTCTGTCCGATTTGTTCTGATCTTCTTTCTCTCTTGCTTTGTAGATTATGGCGAGTTCGAATGGAATAGCGGCGGCGAAGCTACGGTGATTAGCAATTAGGGTTTTAGATGTTTAAATCCTAATTGCTCTTTCTCTTTTCGTCTTCAACGACAACGCTGGTATCTCCTTCTTCGCGTTCTTCAAGTTCTCTGTTTTCTCTCCCTCTGTCTCTGTATTCTCGTCTGTTTTTTCGATTTTCTTCTTCATTGTAATCGACCCCTTTCTGTCTTCAGTCCCCCCTCTGTTAATTCTTCTTCTGTATTTATAGGCTTTAGATTTTATGGTTTTAGATCAATTTGCTGTTACAAATTGGATTAGCACAAATTAGAGATTTTAGAACCAATTAGGGATTTGATTCACTACTGTAATTGATTTTGATTTGTTGTAATATATGGATTTATGTAATAGAGATTGAATTGGATGAAGATTCTGTATTATTTCCTGAGTTTGGATTTAATATTATATGATTGGTTCTGTTAATTATATTTCTGGGCTGGATTGTAAAAAGAAAGATTTGATTTAGTTTTCTGTATAATTTTGGATTTTGTTTGTAATTGATTTGTAATATTGTTGTAGAAAAAGAGTTGGTTTTGGTTATAATCCTTTCATTTTTATGCTCTTTAGAAGTGAGTGGAAGGGAAAACTATAGCAAAAGTTGTGCTGAAGGATGCTGAGGGAATTTCAGATGCTGAAGTTGTTCTCATGTCAGAAGAAGTTGTTTCTCATGCCCTTGAAACCATTATTGAAGAAGAACATGTTGCACCAAAAGTTGAAAAAGTTAATGACACAGGTATACCTCTGAACCTTGTCTCTAATAATGTCTTAGATTCTTCCAACTCATGTATGATGAGAATGTCTCTAAAACTCACCCCACCTCAATCTGTAAATTCACCAGAATAGACACCCTCACTCAAACATGATAAGAACCTACATACATATTTTGTCATGCTCTCTCCTAAACCAACCTCAAGATCAAAATACCTTGCTTCAGATTCTCATAATTATCCCAAAGAATATAAGGAACTATCAAGTCACCTAGTTTATGAGTTACCTAATGAGAAGAACCAGTTGGCATGTATTTCTGATTATGAATGCCAAAATCCCATGAACATTATGGTTGAATGGGCTTAGAGTTTAACCATATCTGCGTTTTGTAGGCTCTGTTGCGGTGCTACTTTTATGTTTGCTGTCTGTAAGGTAAAATCACTTTTGCTATGCTTGTTTTGCTTGGAATTTGTTGTTTTTCTATTCCCTTCACTCTCTTTCAATATTCAAAGATACCCTAATGGATTTTACTATATAATTTGTATTTTTCTAAATTATGCACTGTTATTAATCACCTACTGCACGATCATTGTTTTATTTCTAGTCTTTGTTCTTCAATGATTGGACAAGTAAATTTTAACGAATGTTGTCAAATCGCGGCCTCCATTGTTTTGAGATACGGTATTTAGTACAAAATGTTGTCATGTGGCGGTTATAGTAGTGCTATAGCACTATTGCAAAGAGGAATTTTAACAATCTGCAATTGACAAGGGATGGAATTGGGTATTAATTTGTTGAGTTTGACTAGAAAATATGTGTTAACAGGTTTTGCTCAAATGGTTTGTGGTTCTTGTAGACGTCTGCTTTCGTATCCATCAGGTGCCAAACATGTCAAATGTTCATGCTGTCAAACGGTCAACATTGTGTTTGAAGGCAAGTTTACTTTCTCTTTGCTTCTTTTTATCTTGAACGTGTATTTTCTGTGAAACTTTGCACTTTAAGTTCAGCTTTTATGCACCTGGTTGATTAAATACTTTCATAAACAATTTCATGATGGGAAGAACAGTCCTGCTATTGGTAGTTGCATGCTTGCTGCTGCAAATAATCTTGTGTAAAAAACATGATACGGCATGCATTATCGTTTTGTGTGGCAATCTATTTATATCATAGGTCATTTCTTCCCTGCAGCTGATTAGGCCGGGCAAGTTAAGTGTGGGAGTTGTACGCTATTGCTAATGTATCCATATGGCGCTTCACAGGTCAGGTGTTCATCATGCCGGTTTGTGACAGAAATCGGGGTATGTTAACTGATGTTATTCACTAATTTCCTTTTTGATGTGGTTTTCTGAATAAAGTTTGAAGCACAATATAAACTGTGCAATCAAAGGCAAACTGTTGTTTCCATTTAAATGATCACATTCTCATGCAGGCAAACAACAAGCGGCCTCCCTGGTCTGTAAGATAGTAGAAGAAAATATATTGGCCGAGTGAGGTGCGCAACTGCAGTTCCTGGAACTAGAGAGAGGATGGAGATGGAGAGGAAAGAGAGGGTAAGAAAAGCTGAGGCGTTGGTTGAGAAAGCAATGAAGATGGTAAGGCAATAGGATTGAAGATGTGGACACTATTAAGAAGATGTTTAAGGACAATTACCTCAACTTATACACAACTGATGTGGATACTACAGGTTGGATACACACCAAGTGTGGCTTTCCAAGCATGGAAGAAAGCATATTAGATCAGTTGAATGAAGAGTTGAAAGAGAAAATAAAGAATGATGTTTATGACATGGCTCCTTGGAAATCTCCAAGTCCAGATGGATACCGTGTAGGCTTTTATCAAAACTCTTGAAATTTGGTAGGTGGTAGTGTGTGTACCTTCATCAAGGAGTTATGCATCAAGTCAGCTAACATATCAGAGGTAAATAGCTCAGATCTTTTCCTAATACCTAAAGTAGATAACCCTCAATATGTTCATCACTTCAGGCCAATATCCCTTTGTAACTCTATATATAAAGTTTTTAGCAAAATCATTATAAACATATTGAACAGTTGTATGGATAGATTTGTTTATCTGAATCAAACAGGTTATATTCCTAGGAGGAATATTCATGATAATATAATGGTGACTCAAGAGATTCTCCACAGTATGCACAAGCTTAAAGCAAGAAGAGCTTTTTTGCCATCAAAGTAGATTTAGCTAAGGCATATGACATGATCAGTTAGATTTTTATGGATAAGGTCCTAGTTGAGGTTGGCATTCCAAGCAAGTTGTGTGATCTTATAATGGGAGATATCAGGGCTTGGGAAGATTCTTAAATCGGGCCTGGAATCAGACTCCAAGATCTCATCAATTAGCCTATTGGAGATAATGTGAATACAACAATTGCAGACTTAATTAATGATGATGGAAATTGGAATTGAAGCCATTTAAGGAACATGTTCAGTCGGAAGTTTTTGGATATAATGCTTGTAATACCTCCACCAAGAACAAGGATATAGAGGATCATTGGAAAGGCATTTGGAATCTGAGTGTTACTAAAAGAATAAGGGTTTTTGTGTGGATGATATATCATAATGGAATCAAAACCAACCAATATCTAAACCACTTGAATCTTCCAGATAATTTGTGTGATTACTGTGATGGAAAATGTAGTAGTGTTGTAGCTGAGCTTTGGTGAGTAATGGAAGGCATTGATTTAGCTCGCACAAGGGCATAGAGAAGACTGATGGTGCAAGTAGACATCAACCAAGTTTTTTAAGCTCTCACAATGAGCTTAGTCGAGAAAGGTCTAGGTTTAAATCTGATTCCTAAAATCCAAGAAAATTACAAGCACTAATGAAGACATTTCTATCGTCTATATTTACCAAGTTTGTAGAATATTGTAACATTTTTTGTAATTCTCTCAAGTTGTAGCAAACCAATGTAAATATTAAAATGAAATTTGGCCTTTGATGATATTTGAATTTTTCTTGTTTATTGGTAAAATTTGCACTTCTTTTTACCTTTGATCACATTTTTTTGATATTATTGATGATTATTTGATATTAAATGTTTTTATTGTAATTAACTTTATTATGTTGAAAAGTGATAGAAAATAAAATAAAAATACTATAAATAAAAAAATATTAAAGTAAATAATAATTTAAATATAATAGTAAAATATTATAGTAAAATAATATTATATTTAAAATTATTTTACTAAATAATAATTTAAATAAAAATATTATTTGAAATTTATGAATCAGATTACGACGGTTAAAACCGCCGCAATTTCTAACCTACGGCGGTAGAATAACCGTCGCAAACAACAACAAAAACAAAAAATAAAGTCAAATTCACGACGGTATATAACCGTCGCTATCTGTTGTGCGTGACAGTTTTTGCAACCATCGCGAAATAGGCTGGGGACACACGATTCTGCGACGGTACTTCTACCGTCGTAGATTGTAAATTGCGACGGTTTTAACCGTCGTAATCAGCCAAAATAACCGTCCCAATCTATCATTTTTCTTGTAGTGCTTCCTGGCGAACCAAAAGGGTTCGGGCAAAAGTAAGGGATGAAAATTAAAAAAAAACTTTACACCCAGCAAGTCAAAAACCTGAAAAGGCGGCTTGGGCAAAAAAGGGTATACTGGTGGACTGAAAACTTAAAAGGGCAGTTCAGGCAAAAATTAGGGATTAAGGCATAACACTATGTCTCATTGGATTATCTTGCGACCAGACTTCGGTATCAACTATCAAGCTCGGACGGGGCCAATCAATCTGATCGATCTTTGACCAAGTAGCAAAGTGATGAGACGCTCGAAGATATAAGGGCAATAGCAGAGTTGGAACCTAGTGGGATTGTTTCATATAGCTATTTTTCTTTCTTTTTCACAAATTGTATAATTTCTATCCTTCAGAGGCGTTCTCTTACTAGGACGTCAGCCTCTTGTACAAAACGCCTATGACAGGCCAACTTTAAAATCAATACAATTCATTTCACAAGAAATTTTAACTTGTTTTTCTTTTTCTGTTTTGTTTTGCAAGAACGTCCAATGATTCATTTTTTATATATGCATTTGAAAATAATTGCTGCTCGTAAATATTTACATAAGAAACAAAAGACAATTACTCGTAATTCCAAGAACAGGGGCAAATAAGAAGTGTCTAAACCTTACAGTTGCTCTACCCACCAGGTATTGAGATAGAGCCAGCTTGAGAATATGACTAAAGGTACATAGATTCCCCACAGAGTAGAAAGTATCGGAAGACAGTGGTGTTAGCTCTTCCCAACCGAGGTTCATAATCGCGAATGAGTCGGCAAAATTCTCCCCTAAATAGAACTTATCTATCACCAGCAATAGAAGTTCACAACCAGTTGAGTTTATTTCTCCAAATCAGAGTCTCTCCCGGCGGAATTTTCTCAAGCAGAATAGACACAGGTGTTGTACCCCAAAATTTTCCCTCCCATATTTCTCAATACATTTCAAGTAAGGTCTTCAAATTGCCCAAGGAAGTCCAAGAGTTGATCAGACAAACTCTCTCCTAAAAGCAGTCTACCTCAAATTAGGGTTTCATTTTGCATCAAGATGTTTGAGTCCAAAGGGTCCCAAATTCTCACTATTTTCCTAATATGTTCTCAAGATCATCCATGTCAAGTTTCAAGCCTTGCAGAGGAAGTTTGCTCAGTCAATTGCTCAAAGGCTTGAAAGTCGACTATGTTAGGGCAAAAGTCAACTGTGGCCCACATACAGTCAAACTTCAAGATTTTTGGTAAACATCCTCATTTTGAAGTATTATTCATCATTTGATCAAGGGTTTATCATGATTCCTCAAGTATTGCTCACAATTGATCAAAATCCAAAACTTGTTAAATTAGGGTTTTGCAAGAAAAGGCAACTCAACTTTGACCAAGCATAACTCTGTCATACTTTATCAGAAATGACCCATCCAAAGCTCATTTTGAATATGATGTAATTCCCTACAATTCATATTCATCTCCCAAGTTCAAAATATGCACTCACAAGAAGATATAAATTTGGACATTATAGGTCATTTTGAAAAGTCAACAAAAACACCTTTTGGGTCAAAGCTTCTTACATGAACATGGAAGATACAATTGAGATGAAACTAAAGAGGTTTCTTAGGGGACATCCTAAGCTTTCTAAAAAATCCAAGAACACCCTCATAAGGTTAAAATTGAGAGAGATATGCATTGTCAAAGTTGGACCATTTTTTAAAAAAATGCATGAAGCAAATATTGACCAAACATGGATTTTTTTCCAAATGGGCCTATATTTTCAAGTTTGAAACTCATTCCTAACATGGTCCACGACCTCTAAGCCCACCCGTACATTTTTCTACTATTTATGCTATTTATTTTGATATTTTATTCATTAAAATTCAGAATTAAATAAATAAATAATAGAAATAATGTAAATTTTGATGTGAATCCATTTTGGGCAAGTTTTATGCTGGTTTATGTCAATTGATTTCATGCAATAACCCTTCAAATATGTCCGGGTTCATCCTCATGTGAAAATGACATAAAATCATCAAATATGGCATTTTTTTCAAATCTTAATCATGGTCTTAAAACACAACATTATGAGGGAGATTCTTTCCATGCTTTCTTGTCTCCTCATTCTCCTCTATAAATATAGAGTCATACAAGCTTTAAAGGGACGAAATTCCTCTCTAAAAAGCTCTCAAAAAGCTCTTCAAAAATCTCTCCAAAAGCTCTTCAAAAAGCTCTCCAGAAATCAAAGAATTGGTGCAAGTCATATCTCGAGGTTCCGTCTCTCTCAATTGACATCAAGCCTCAAACCATCCTCTTGAAGTCCTCAGGAGGCTTACAAGGCCCAAGAGCAATCCATCACACGCCTAGCACGCCCCCATTTGACAATACCGGTTTGGTAAAATTTTAAACTTCAAATCTCTAATTTTAATAACATTTTATGGTATGCTAACGTTTGTTTGAGTTTATATAGAACAGTTATGGATGGTTGAATCATAGGTTCCACGCAAGAATAAAAAAAACACCATAGTTAGAGCATGAAGCTTTCGAAGATTCGGGCCTAGGGATTTCTGATGATTGTACCCCCTGTTTACTTTTGCTACTACGCTCATCTTTATTTTCTTGTTTTATTCATTTCATTTATTTCTTTTAATCCCTTTTTTTTTTATCAATAAACAAATATAAAAATCACATAAAAATAGATTTAGGATTTTTTTCTTAATTAAATTTTAATTTTGATAAATTAATTAACTAAACACTTTAACTTTTTTTTAAAAATAAAATTAATAGTACTTAGGTTTAATTTTATTTTAATTCATTTTCCTTTTCGTATAAAAAATACCAAAAAAACATAGAATTAATTTCTTTTATTTAAATTTCATGTTTCTTTAATAATTATCTTTTTTTTTAAATATAGATCTAGATTAATTATTTTTTAACTTAAACCATTTTTATAAATTAAAACA